AGTTGGTTGTGGTTATTATCTTCTCGTATCATCGATTAGTTCAATGTGTATGATTATTGTATTAACAATTAAATTTTGGCAACTTGTTCTTTCACAAATGTCAATCATAACTAATAGATCAATACTGGTTATCAATTGTATTTCAATTGAAATAATTCTTAAATCTTGTTTAGCATCAAGTGAATGGCTTAATGCTTGTGTAGCTATGGAAAGAATGTTTAATGTAAGCAAAGGTGTGACATTTAACAAAAACAAGAGTAAGATAATAGCTAAACGAGTGATTTTTGTTGTTATTATTTTAATCATACTTACACATATTCATGATCCACTTTATCGACAATTGATTAATGATTTAGATGGGGATCAACAAAGAATATGGTGTATATCTCAATATTCATCTACAGTAATTAAATACAACACATTTATTACTCTCTTTCATCTTCTTGTTCCTTTTTCAATTAATTTGATATCTGCTTTTGTAATTATTATAGTAGCAGCTCGTAGTCGTGCAAAAGTAGAATCGAAACTATCATTCAAGCAACACGTTCGATTGATACTTAAAAAACATAAAAATATTATTATTGCACCTAGTATTTTGTTTGTATTAGGTTTACCACGTCTTATTATTTCATTCACATCAGGATGCATGAGATCACCACGTCAATCTTGGTTATATTTGATTGGTTATTTTGTATCCTTTATTCCATCAATGTCAACATTTTTTGTATTTATTTTACCATCAAAAAATTACAAAAGTGAATTCGATAAAATAATACAGCGATGGATTCGACCATTCCGTCGAAGATCTTAATATGTTTCATGTGGCACTCTAATAGACAAGTGTTCTAATTCTCCTTGCTCCTATTTCATTTTGCAACATTATGAACATGTATCCAAAAATTTTATTCGCTATTTTTATCAGTTAATCATACTTTTCAAAATCTCTAAAATAAAAATATAAAGCAATTGAATAAACTAAATTTTATTCTTTTCTTCATATATTTTGATAATTGTTTTCGTTTGAAGATGGATCAAAGCTGTGAATGTCAACGTTTATGTTTTAATCTTATTGCAAAAATATCAAATTGTTACATATTTTCTAGTCGGTTGCACGAAGATGTCAAAACAAGACGAAGAAAAAAATGTAATAACATATTCTTGAAAAAACCCAACCATTGAAGATATGTTTTGTTACAAGTAGGTACATTAGCAAAAAGTTGAATTTCTCAGTTATATATTTTCTTGAGAGACTTTCATGATCACGGCTAGTTACTTGAGTTTATGAGCAATAATTTGGAAAAGAACTGAATTGATTTAACAGCAGCAAGAAAAAGAATATTTTTCATGTTACATTAGACGTTTTGAGAAATTTATTGTCATTTTCAAGAAAATCTTACAATAAAATTAACAAATAAAGTATAGGATCTAGATAATGAGCGTGTTTAGTAAGTATTTCAAAATGTGAAGGCATGAGGAATTTACCAAAAACAACTGGAGAGGGTGTAGGTGTGGATGAAGAGAAGATTCACATCCACACTCACCTACCATTTCTATAATAAAACATCGCTTTCAAAAAAGACAACCATAGAAATGGCTGCAACATAGCTAAAGAAAAGTTGGGGTATATAATTATTAATTACAGTAAGTGGTTGACAATAGAATGGCGTCGTTTAATTTTATACATTAACAGGGATAATAGTCAAATCAATTAGATAAGTTGCATAATTTAACCCTTTCAGGGCGGAGCCCGTATATATACGGTTTGAAAATTTTTGTACAAATGATAGTCTTTGAGCTTACTGTAGTGGACTTCTCCAGTGTTTTACTTCTTTACTTTTTGCAAAATTTTACATTTATGTCTTTGACGTCAAAACAAGTATGAGAATTGTGGTAGAATATAGTTATTAAGTTATAACCAATTCTGACACTACAACTTTATTTCTTCTATAAAAAAAGCCCGCCTCCAAAGGGTTAAACGAGTCAGAAGAGTTCAGATAGGACATGAGTGGATTTTGTTTACTATCCTACCTTTATTAATAATAACATAAAAATATAATCCATCCAATAGCTAAAGACCAAGCAGAACGAGAGAAGATTTCATAAGCAATAATCGATGCTCGATTGAGATCAGTTACTGAAATGTAATCACCGTACATTGAAAATATACAAACCAAGAAACTTAATGTCGCCAGAAAACTTCCTATCTTTTTAATATTCCTATTTATGTAGTATGTAGAATCTGTATTAATTACAACAAAACCAGTAAGAAGTCGTATGGCATAAGCTGGGATCCGGCACCATCGAATAACATAGATAACACTAAAAGAGGTCGATTCATTCTATTGAACTAAGATAAAAATCATTTTAAAAGTGGAAAATTTTCCACACGCAACTTACAGCACTGGCAGATTGTTGAAGAGCATTACGTACATTATTTGGATTGAGATTAGGATAGTGAAGAAGAAGGCCTAAAGTTGAACCAATATGAATAAAAATATGCATACTAGCAATAATATATGCTATTTTCTTTCGTCCTAATACAAATGGCATAAGTGCGAGTGGAGCAATCCAATGGAATTGCATATCATAGAAAAGATACCATGAAACATTCAAACATATACTTTCTGGCTTAATCAAATTATCAATATAAAAAAAGACTATCCACCAATAATGATTACGACATTCTTCTGATTCAAATCCTTGTTGAATAGGATACGCAGGTGCATAACTAAAGTAAGGTGTTAGCTAAATACTCACAAACACCATATGGATAAATGTAGGTGTAAGTCGAATATATTGATGAATGTAATAAAGAAACATAAATCGACAAGTTAATTTCTCTTTAAACACTTGTTGAACAAAGATAATAGCCGTTAAAAAATCACTAAGAACGAAAAATGTATCGACACTCAATAGACCTCCTACGATTAATTGAAAGGCTAAATTATGTGACCAAGCAATAACAGCAAGATTATTAGCCGTATAATTCATACAGAAGATGAATGAATAACAAAATATAATTCAAAAAAACAAGCAAGTACACGAATACCATTGATAAAAGCCAATGAATTATCACCTTCTTTTTTTGTCATAGTGAAAATACAATCTAGAGTACGAAAAGCTGAAAATTCAACTATCTATACTATATGAGACATTTTTTGTTTTGATGTTTGATTTGAAGAAGTATTTAGAATACAGCAATCGATTCCAGTGCCAACAAGAACAAGAATAAATAATAGTGAAAGAATAACACATATAGTTATTGTTTCTCGTAATCGATCCTTTTGTATATAAGGACGATCATTTGAACATTGAAGATAATCTTTAGTGAAATTGCTGTTATTAAACATCGCTGAAATCATTGAGACTACTGCTTGACTATTTACATGAGGACGGTAAAAACAAACCAATAACAATGCTTGAACTGACGAAATCTCCTGCTTTTGATTGGATTTGCTAACAGTTTGCCTAATTATATATAGTTTCCAAATGTTAAATTTAGATAAGCATATACTTACAATATTGAGTATTGAAAGGTTGTTTTAGAAATGATTTGTTATTGTATTGATATAATGATTTGATACATTCATCATAGTTACCAGTCCAAAAAACATTGCTTTTGAATAAGCCAGATGGTAAAGGCTTGCCCCATGAATCGAATATTTTGAGTGGCCATAATTCTTGATGAAATGCAGCTTTAATTAACAGTTCAATGTCATGCTCATATGTACTACTTTTATTACTTGACAACAATGTATTTTTAAGTAATTCTTCAGGTTTAAAATTGATATATGGTAAATTATCAAGACTCGGCAATTTATATTGTTGTTGAAAATAATAATTACGAAATTGATGTAAAATTCCATTCAAATCAAGTGGAATTGTTTAAGATTTTGACTGACAATCAATGTAGTGAAGCGAGAGGAATAATATTATTGCGACAAACATATTTAGTTATCTAAAATTTTTGAATATGCATTAGCAGTATAGAAGTATGGTATAATACAAAATTGACATCTTATTTCGGTCAGTATACTCGTCGCTGATAGTCACATTGCTGAAATTTGATAATTTACATTTCGACGATGTCTCTTTTAAACGATCGTCACTTCGATGACTGTAGTTATTGACGATATTCTGAATTGATACCTGCAGTATATATAGTGAGCGTACAGAATGATCATCGAAGCGAAAATCACGAACATAGATGATCGAAAGGAATTTGACGATGAAGCATACAATGCATTATTTGTAAAAGATCTTTATGATATTATTCATCTCACTTGAAGAAGTATCATCATACAATTAAGAGAAATCATATTTTCCACATATTATTGTTGACGCTTCGTCTCTCCATTTTCGACTGCAGTACAGTTTGATGATGTTAATGTATATAAATTTATTACAGTTACGTACTGTGATCAACTTAGTTGTAACAAATGTAATTATGAAAAAAAAAAGATAAACGTTGTACATCCAGAATAGAATTAACTTATAAAAACTTCAGTCATTTTAAAGTATTTATATCGAGGTATTCAAAATAATGTCGCAATAACTCATGTAGTTGTTTGTATCTCGAAGGGTGTGGGGTGTGGGTGGGTGTGGGCGTGGGTGTGGGTGTGGATGTGGGTGGGTGTGGGGTGTGGGTGTGGGTATGTGTGTGGAGATGTGTGTAAGTGTGGGTGTGCGTGTGCGTGCAAAGAAGGCTCACACCTATCTTAAGATGTGGGTGTGGGTATGACTAAAGGAAGACTCCTACTCACACCCACACTCACACCCACCCACACATCCACACCCACACCCACACCCACACCCACACCTCACACCCACACCCACACACCCACACCCACAACATACCGGATTGAATAAGATTTCCGAAGAGAAAATGTGGTGCTAGGCCTGGTATAGAACCACGTAGAGTAAAATATTTTCGTTTGACATATAGAAGTAGTAAGATGATTACGCTTATGGTCAGCAACAGAAGCATAGCCTGTGATATGTCAATATCTAAATATCAAGTGTTGCATTATTATAAAATACAACAGAAAGTTGTTGTATAAAAAAAAACAATCTTCAAGTTAGCATTGCTTGCTTGTTATCGCTTTATTACTTTACAATCAACTCCACCATAGAGACCGCAATCCAGCGGCTTCTGTGCCGGTCGCAAGTCCGGATAAAGGAGGAGCGTTTGACGGAAGGGGTGCAGATACCGCCGTCTGTAAAAAGAACAAGACGACAGA